ACCCTACACCATTTCTGACAGACAGCAGTCCAATCTCTTCTTGAAAGCCTCCAGGGATGGCGCTCCCACAACTTCCGAAGGCAACTTCTGTTCCATGGGTTGATTGTTGTCACTGAAAATTTATCATTTCCAGGTTGAATCTCTCCTTGTTCAGTTTCCATCCATTATTCCTTGTCTGGCCTAAAGGCGCTTCAGAGAATAGCTTGACCTCTTCCTCTCTGTGGCAGCCCCTCAAATATTGGAAGATGGTCTCCTGTCTCCCCTGGTCCTTCTCTTCCCTAGACTAGCCAGGCCCAGTTCCTGCAACCGTTCATCATATGTTTGAGCCTCCAGTCCTCTCATCATCCTGGTTGCTCTTCTCTGTACTTTTTCCTAGAGTCTCAACATCTTTTTTATAATGTGGTGACCAAAACTGGATGCAGTACTCTAGGTGTGGCCTTACTAAGGCTTTATAGATTGGTATTAGTACCTCATTGGATCTTGGTTGTATCCCTCTGTTAATGCAACTTAGGATTGCATTGGCTTTTTTGGCTGGATCGGAGCGCCAGGAGGGAACGCGAGGCAGGTTTTCAGAATACAGTGGAACCTCGGGTCACGAACGCTTCTGACCACGGCCAAATCGGCCGCCGGCCAAAAACAATCCACAAAAAGTTCGGACTCTGGTCGTGAACACATCCATCCTCAGGTGGCGATCAAACACAGCTGCGACAATTTCCCCTTCTGTGCCATTTTTTTGTTTTGTTTTGCATGCATGCATGCACAGTCAGTCTCGCTTCCGGTCACAACCACATCAGGTTGTAACCAAAGTCCTGGAACGGATTACGGTCATGACCTGAGGTTCCACTATAGACGGAATGAAATGAAATTGGGGCCTATAAACCATCCAGGATGGATCTAATGTCCACCAACTTCCGATGGAAGGGAATATTTACAGCCCGGGGTTGAACTTTGGGGTCATTGGTGCTCTCTGAGCTTGTTTTCTTGCAGACGTTTCATGACCCAGCTAGGTAACATCATCAGTGTTACAAGAGAGGGGTTTGAGGAGTTGGCGGGGGGAGAGAAGGAAGAGGGTTTTTTCTTCTTCTGAAGAGCAACTTAGATTGCTGTAAAAGACCCAAGAGAGAATCTGTGGAAGTCACTCTTAATCAATAAAAAAATAATCCATCATTATAAATAACATATCAAAATCTTAAATCCCAGACCTACCCATTGGGGAGTTTTCCTTTGTAATTGAAATATACAAATTCCTTCTTCAGGGCTCCGTTTTTCCCCAATTTCAGCCAGGCAGGCTGTGTGAAGGGGTATTTCCCCCAGCCCTTTGTGTGCCCTCTGCACATGCTTAAGAGATGTTTCCCACCATGCTCCTTCCTTCAGTACTTAGAATTTTCCTTCCTAACGGAAAAAATGCCCAAATTCGCCACTATTGCACGTCCGAATTTCTCATTTGTGGGCTCATTTTTGCAATTCCAGCCAGGCTGGTGTAACTCTAAGAGAAGGGTATTTCCTCAGCCTTTGTTGTACTCTCTGCACATGCTCAGAGATGCTTCCAGGCATTCTTGGGTCCTCGGATGGGTGGAAGAGGGATTTAGTCAAGCCCATCTGCTTCGTACAGCCCCCAACAATGCAAGGCCTGACCTTGCAAAGAGAGGCGGATCCCCCCCCCCCCCCTTCGGGCCCCCCCCCCCCCCCCCCCCCCCCCCCCCCACCCCTCCTCCCCCCCCCCCCCCCCATAGCTCTTCCACCCACATTACTCTGGGTTGTATTTAGAGCTTCACTTCCTAAGCCGCTTTGCTGTCCGAACCAGAAAAGCGAAGGATCAGAGCTCAGCGTAGTAAGCTCAGGAGACGAAACGGCAACAGGCTGAAAGTAGGATTGTGCGCGTGTATTTCCAGGCTGTGCTTGCATTATCTTCCTGCCGGGTGTGTGTGCGTGTATGTGTGTGTTTACTGGCTGCCCCAAGACAGGAACCCTTCGGGGTCACCGTTTAAAAGAGGACAACGTAGGTCAGAATTGCAGTATCGATAGAAGGGGGAGTATATTTGAGGGTTGAACTGAGGGTGGTCTTGGAGCTGGGTGGTTTTCTTGCAGACCTTTCATGACCCAGCTAGGCAACATCATCGGTGCTAGAAGGGAGTGGGGTTTGAGGAGGACTATGGGGTCCTTGATGTTTTCTGAGCTTGGTCATTTTCTTGCAGATGTTACATTACCAAACTAGGTACCATCATCAGTGGTAAAAGGGAGTGGGATTTGTGGAGACGGGAAGAAGAGGAGGACCGTGGGGTCCTTAGTGCTGAGCTTGAATGCTTTCTTGCAGACGTTTCATGACCAGCTGGGTAACATCATCAGTGCTAGAAGGGAGTGGGATTTGAGGAGGGGCACTGTGAAGTCCTTGGTGCTCTCTGAGCTTAGTAATTTCCTTGCAGACGTTTCCCTTACCCATCTGTGTAACATCATCAATGCCAAAGTGAGGTTAACAGGGACTTTCTGGGGTGGTGTGGGGAGGGTGGACAGACAGACCCCCTCCCCCTCCTCGCCATCTCTCCTCTCCACGCTGACTCATCCGCATAGGGAAGGGCGATCTGATTGATGCCCGTACCTGCAGAGGTCTAACAGCTGCCAACCTGGCATCATTCCCGCAGTGGGAGGCGGAGGGAAATGCAGGCTTTGGGACTGCAAGGAAGGGGGAGCGATGCACAATGCAGAAGACTGCGGTCCTTTCTTTGGGGGGGGGGGGGAAAGCAGCCCAGTCTCTGGACTCATAATCTTATGACAAGAATTTTAGAATTTAGTTACTCGACTTTATTGTCACTGCACCTTGTACAACGAAATCAAACCCCGTCTTCAGTGCCCATCGTGACCATGAAAATAAACATAAACGCACAACCTTCACACGCCACACATTGAATTGTAAACCCCTGAAATTGCATTAATATTGCACTCTGCAGCAGAATTCAAAAGAGCTCCTGCCCTGGGGTAGAAGCTGTTGTTCAGCCTATTTGTCCTTGTTTTTATTATTCTGTACCGTCTGCCAGATGGTAATAGTTCAAAAAAAAAGGGGTTCCCAGGATGAGATGGATCTTTGAGGATGTTTTGAACTTTCTTAAGGCAGCAGGAGCTCTTCCAGAGAGGGGAGAGGACAACCCAGGATCCTCTGGGCAATGA